ATAGTATTTTTCGATGATTCCTAATGAACTTCGTTTCATTGTTTCGCCAATTCTTGCGTGAGAGTTCATAACTAACAGTCTTATCCCCTAGTAGCAGCAGCTAATGTTGAATCCTCAAATATTAACTTAGATGCATTTTTTGCTTTCGAAGTGTAATTTGTTTGTTTAACTGAATAAATGAAAATAGGTGAATTCATTTCCATTTTATGAGATTTACTGTTACAACTACCTAGAATCATCATCCTCTGGGAAGGTGAAGATGAGGTAAAATCCCTAATTTGTTGATTTATTTGTTTGCAGGGCCAAAGATCTAAACAAGCTTTAGTTGCCAGCTAGCAGTAATTTCTGAAAATGAATCAAGCTATCCAAGGTGACAACTCTGGTGCCCCTTCAGTTCTGCCAGCGAAGAGGGGACGTGGCCGCCCTCGGAAAGATCCAAACCTGAAGCAAGTTAAAACTGCAAATGGACCTCCTGGTTTTGATGAACCGAAAGGAAACCGTCCCGTTAAAGTGGATAGAGTAGATGTAAATGAAAATATGGTGGGTGAGGCAGTGACTGGTGTTGTTGAGGCCACCTTCGATGCTGGTTATATTCTCAATGTTAGAATTGGCGACTCCAATACTATTTTGAGGGGTGTTGTTCTCAAGCCAGGACATTACGTTCCCATCACAGATGAAAATGACATAGCTCCACATGTTCAAATGATCAGAAGAAACGACAGCCAGCCATAAAACACTCTGTTAAATATTTTGTGAAAACTGCATTGCTTTACAATCTCACATTTTGGTTGTTACAAGCATTTTTTAGTGCTCAATTACTCTGTAGAATCTTCTAGGTGTGCACAGCTTCCCCTCCCCGGGTTAAATGTTCTCTTTCTTGTTAGTATTGTCATAAGATACTCACTTTCGAAAGGATGCTATACAGGGAAATGGTTCTAGTTATGCAGGTCCGAGAACCACCAACAATGTGAACAGGGCAGACGGCTTAAAGTGCACATTTGGTACATAGTAATTTGTTAAACAAAATACTATCATAAATGAAATTTACGTTTTTTTCTTGTTTGCTAGTGTTGAGCACTATCTAATCTTCTTGTGAAATTGTGCCAGAAGGGTCCTAGGATTTTGAAATCAAATTGAGATTTTCTTGTTTTAAATATTAACCACCCTACAAAACAAAATTATAGTCGAAGTCCTCAATTCACATTCTGCTGATGTGAATGATTTTGACAACATTTCTGACTTTGTACGTGGAAAATCAAGTTGATGTGAATAAATTTGATAACATTTGCGAATTTGAATATGGAAAATCAAGCTGAAGTGAATAATTTTGATAACTATTGCGACTTGGTATATGGAAAATCAAGAACACCAGAAGATGAGAGCATCAGGATTTCACCAATATTTTTCATTTCAATCAGAATAATATTGTATGAGACACAATTTTCCTTTGTCAAGCATCCAGGTTTAGTTCTAGCAATCTTAACTGATACGTGCACCCCAAAGAGACACCTAGGGAAGGGAAAAACTATAAATGGCTCCCAACTCTTGCATGAACAACCAAGTGTCTTGGGTACATCTTTCCATTTCAAACCGGCTTTCTCAAGATGCAGTGAAAATATAGACCACAAACCCAAAATAATTCTATCATCTTTCGCCTGGAGGCTATTGTCTGCTCATTCTCCACTGGACAGAAAGTTTAACTAACCATAGACAATCATCCAAAACTGAGTTTGAAACTGCAGTTAGCCACCCTTTCCTGCTCGGAGGAGGCATGGAATTCCCAATTCGAGCAATCCATAAATGTTTGTTTTTTATCCTATTCAAGGAATAGTAATCCAGCTCCATCAATGAGTTCTATTCTTGATCTTTCTTTCCCTTCCAGAGTATGATCTGTTCATCCTTGAATAGGATTGGAACACAATGAACAAGATCCTGCTTTAAAGAAACAAGCAAAAGAATCAGAACATCCTCATGGAGTATAGCATATACATTTAGACAAAAATAATTCAGAAACAATTGAAACTTTGATTATGAGTAGGGGATAGTCATACTCGTAATTTGACGCCAATCTTTTTACAGTCACTTGTTCCCACATGGGTACAATCTAACCTCACTACTTCTTCAGTCTCAAATGCTGTTCTCACTCTTTCCACCACATTTACATATACACCATTCCTAGCTGCAGAAAGAAGATGAAAAATTAGGTAATTACTATTTGCAAATCAAGGAGAGACCAAATCAATTACTTATAGCAGTTTTGCTCAGCTTTAAGTAAACTTACCTTTTTAAGTAACTTTTGGTATCCAAAATACATATGTATAACTTACTATTTTCTTGTTTTTAAGTATAGAAAAAGGTACCTTCTGTGGAAGTAACTTTTACATTAGTGTGAAAATAAGTACTTATGTTCCAACTATCACCACCAACAACAATAAACTAAGCCCTTGTTTGGCGCATGTTTATAATCTGTTTACAATCAGTAAAACAAATTTTTATCCACTTATTCTATGGAACCCACAAGTATTACCTACTTATCCACCACTCCTATCTATTTATAATTCAAACCAGTTAATACAAAGAACTCCCAAACATGCTTTAAGTAGTATTCCTAATAAATTTGAGACCAGTTACATGTTCTTTGCCATTCCATTTTGTTTGTTGCTTTAAATCTAATGGAAAATTTATAGCAAAAGATCCTTATCATCTATAGAGGCCAAGTTAATTTTGGTCTAAGCCCTTCCCTTGACCAACTTTTATCATTAAAATTTATTTATTTTAAAACAAACTTATTTAGTTAAACGTAAATTTACTTTAGCCTGGCCAAACATGCTATTAGACATAAATACCAAATCACTTACTGAGTTTCATTAAAGGAGGAGAGTTAAGCCCTTTGTTTCGCATCTCCTTAGTTTCCTCAAATGTGAGACCATCGGCAACATTCTTCACGAGTTTTGGATAGATTGGAGCATATGGTTTCCACAACATAAGAGGAATGACTGGTCGATTTTTGGGGTCATAGTTTCGACCTCGAAATAGGAGGAGGATGTTGATATTACGGTATATAATTATCCCACCAGTTTTGTCCTATAATGAGACACTGCAATCCACATCAGCTAACAAGCACCAAGAAAAAAGAGTTTTTAATAATAACGATAGAAACAGCCAGTTTTCAGACGCCTAACCTGAAGATGATAACAAATGTTGTCCATGTCAAGAGTTGGCACTCCCAAGCATTTAATCCGTACAGCTTCAGCCCTTTTCCAGTGATTGTGGATGTCTTCAAGCGTGTTGTGTGTAACTCCTCCCTTTCCTAGCATAATAAATGTTTCTTTCTTGAAAATCTAAAATGCTTCAAACAAATAGTTACAATATTCACACTCTTCAAAGAAGTCAGACCTGAATAGATATCACACTGTTCCATGATTACAAAAGTAGTCAGATCTGACAACGTATACTTGTAAATTCTTCTCAATAGTTCCCAAGGAATAATTTTATTTTCAGCTATATGTATTTTTATCAGTAATCATGTATCCGAGCCAGAGTTGTTACAGGTGATGCGGTAGATTTCAATATCCAGAGAAACCATAGCCATGCCTTATAGTCTTAAAGCTTAAAGTATTGTTGCGCCCTTGTGCAATGCAGATCGGCACTTGTGTCATTTATATGAGATATGTCAAAAGGAAACAAAAGAAATGAGGACTGATATAAAAGAGAGTAGTGGAATGGATAAGCTCTAACTCCTTTTTATAAGAATGCATTTCCCTACTTTTTTTAATCCTGAACTTCATTCTTTTCGAAAAGTTGCCTCAGCAGATTGACTGCCCAAGTGAACTATTGCCAAGCTTGCTTGGGCATTTTGACCAAACATTGGATGAATCTGATAAAGAGAAGGAAGGTAACAAATAGATGTATTTGACAACTTTTGAAATGAATAATACAAATTAACTGGAGAAGCATTTAGGAACTTGTATATCAGTCTCTTAAGTCAAGTATTTATCTATAGGATGACAGCGATGAAGGTCAGAAGGTGTGCAGGAGATCCATGATAGTCTTGGAGATGCATAATCCTACTGTTCAGATAAGTCACGATACAAACTTCGAGCTATATAAATGAAATGTTATCAATTATGTAGAAGTTCAAATGTTACGCTGAAAGAGTAAGAAGACAAGAAGCAAAGAGGTATGCTTGCATTTCTGTGTTGAGAATGTTATTTCAACTATCTTTAACAAAGCTTCAGTTATTTAAGTAAAACTAATGTATTGCTAAAGCTTAGGTCTTTTGTTTTTGAGTTGTTCTTNTGCTTAGGTCCTTTGTTTTTGAGTTGTTCTTGAATGGGCTTTTACCAACCAAACCCCCTTTGAGCTCAAGCAACTTGGTTTGGTCGTATCCTACTTGATAGTTGGACTAAAATGATCCAGGCCAAAAAGTTTACACCTCAATTTTCAAGCTTGGCTATTCAATTCTCGAGTTGTTCTTGAACAAGCTTCGCCCAAGACAAGTCCTGACATGTCAAGCCCATTTAAAGCTTCAATGTCATGAAAGGCTCTGGTCATTTGGCAGCACAAAATTGAGTTTTTCATTGCCAATGCTCTTAGTTCTACATCCATACTGAAGCATACGTTTCCAAGATCATGGAGAGTTTAAACATTCCAGAACGACATCTTTAAGTGTGCATTTGTATTAGAATTTACACAGAAAAAATGAAATGTCAATATGCTACAAATGATTCGTTATTGAATTCTTCATTTCAGAATTACTCGGTGCATATAAGAAATTCTTGTAAAAATCCAGACGCGGTAGTAAGAAATTTCATTTGAACAGACGATTACCCAAATTGATTTGACGCGAGCAATCACTGTGGCGATACTTCTCTACGAGCTCCGTAATTTCCTCCTCTGACAACGGTTCTCCAAGGACCCTTTTCCTCTCCTCGTCCAATTTGTCCAGATCCACCTGAGCCTGAGCCGGAGCCGGAGCGCAAGTCCCAGTCCACTTTCGCTCAATCCGACCAGGCCCGAATGGAGAGAATCTAGTAGGCTCACGGAATCCAATGGGCTCAACACCGCGGCTGTTCTCCGAGTAAGAGTGCATAAAATCAAATGGCAAATCGGCTTTCAGCGGAAAATTATTGGCGATATCCGTAGTTAATTGTTTAGTATCTTTTTGCGAATACTTTTTTTCTTGAGTATTTTTCAATTTGTTCTTATTTTTGTTGAAATTTATCGGGGAAAATTGGGGGTCGTATAGGTCCTCTTCATGTGGACAGTGGCTGATGAAACGAGATATGATGAGGTAAAATGGAGACGGAAAATGAGTAATATTGGTGTTTGAGAGCAGGGGTTGAAGGATTGAGCGACGCCATGAAAGCAGCTTCGACATTGAGTCGGTTTCTGTCACTACACCACCTTCGCCACCTCCGAAGAGTGAAATAAGCCCTTTTTCCAAAAATTTAAAAAATGTCAAAAACGAGACCTTCAAACAAAAGATTAGTTGATTAAGATTCACTCTCTAATTTTTTGTTCAATTTAAGTCCTCATCAAGTGAGGAGAGATTATTAGAAATTTCGTCTAGATTAAGAAAGGAAAATTTACACATTTCTTATGCATCGAGGGTGCGATTACATTTTGCCTGAGGATGTGGTGAAAAAGTAAAAATAAGTTATGAATTCCCGTACAATATTATTTTTTCATAGAATGTCTTATAATGAGTTTGAAGCATCGCGGGCCCCACCCCTATGTTAAAGAGATGTGAAAGTGAATGTGAACCAAATGTGTAAGTGATTACTCTTGTTTATATAACACAGTAAACATAAATTTTATGATCTATTTGTTATTCTTTAAACTATCAAAAGCTTATGATGTTTTATTAAGGTATATAATTAGCACAAAACGTTGTAACCTTTCATTTTTTTAGCATTTTCATCATCATTTCTACATTTCATTGCCCAAAAGTCTTTCCATCCATTTACCGTCAGTTGGACTGTTAATTTAATAAATAAAAAAGTCAATTTTATTTTCAAACACAAGGATAAAATAGTCTCGATCCATTTATCGTCTTATTCCCACCTTCAAAATAGTTATTCCATAAGCAATAGTAACATGAATATGAAAATAAATTATTAGATTAAATAAAGAAAAAATGGCGTAAAGAACATTGTATTTCATAATAGTGGTTACTACAGTGGTAGATTACTGATAAAATTTAGAATGGTAGTTGAAGATATATATATTGAATTGGTGGCCATGAATTAGCGGTGTTAATTCCCATTCCGTGCTTATTAAGGGGGTGTAACTAATAGGTAAATTGAAAAACAATTGCACATTTGATGTTGTAAAGTATCTATCAGATTTCAATGGTGAAGATGAACAGGTGCTGTTCGTTTATTTTTAACACGGAATTAACCGTGTGATGATAATCCCTACGTAGTAATACTTCTTGCGAAAAAATCATTATCTTAATTTCAAACTTCTTGGCGCAAAACGTCTCTATCTCTATAACTCATTGTGAGAACCGTTTGTATTTTCTTTTGTGTGCAACTTGTTTATACCAGTGTTCTAAAAAACGTAAAGCGTGGCTAGGACGTGGAGGCCAAGCTTTAAGCTTTACGAGCCTAGGCGAAGCTTAGGCGTAAAAAATCGTTTTTTTAATTTTAAATTTTTTAATCATTGTAAATATTGTATTTCATAATAGTGGTTACTGCAGTGGTAGATTACTGATAAAATTTAGAATGATAGTTGAAGATATATATTGAATTGGAGGCCGATGAATTAGCGGTTTTAATTCCCATTCCGTGCTTGTTAAGGGGGTGTAACTAATAGGTAAATTGAAAAACAATTGCACATTTGATGTTGTAAAGTATCTATCAGATTTCAATGGTGAAGATGAACAAGTGCAGTTCGTTTATTTTTAACACAGAATTAACCTTGTGATAATAATCCCTACATAGTAATCCTTTTTGCGAAAAAATCATTATCTTAATTTCAAACTTCTTGGTGCAAAATTTCTCTATCTCTATAACTCATTGTGAGAACCATCCGTATTTTCTTTTGTGAGCAACTTGTTTATACACAACAATTCAAGCTTCCTAAGTACACCAATTTGATCACGGCAGCTCAAACAAAATTCAAATAAGAATTCAGACGACAATTAACCAAAATCTCAACAAAAAGGGGATAAATGGTGTATTTAGGGTTTTCACCAAAATCTCTACTACGGTAAAATGAGTTCCCACCCTAAGATTGTCCCATCTTCAGTTCTATAATATCAGGATCACTTCCAGCACTATTTCCATTCAATAAGGAAATTCAATAATTATTTTGAACTTGAGAAGATGGGGATAAATGGGTTGAGGCTATTATATCTTGGTGTTTGAAAAAAAAAATTGACTTTTGTATTGAATTGATGGAGCGACTGACGGTAAGTATATGGAATGACGTTTTTGACAATGAATGGTGAAAAAAAATGTGAAAATGTAAAAAAATGAAAGGTAAAAATGTTTTCCACAATAATAATGAAGAGTATAAACGTTTTGCACTAATTACCATTTTTTGAAGTCAGTGTTTGAGCTTTAGTTTTTGCCTTTTCAAAAAACTCATTTTTAATCACACATTCTCCCATAAAATAATTTTACACGTAAATTCAAACTTTTTCTTATATGTATATTTGGATAATTCTTCTTGTACATTAGGGGTGTCATAATAGTGTCCATAATGGACACATGACACCCCTAATGTACTTATAACACTTCCCTATATATTTTAGCTATATATTCTCTAAAAAAATATATATTATTTCAAGACTTATTTCCCCCAAAAAAATGGGGCTCAAACATAAATGATCTTTAAAAGACGATAAATAATGTTTATAAATTTATGATCTTTATTCTCTTATACTACAAATTGAAAATTTGAAAATAAAGTTACATAAATTGCTAATGTTGAAATAATAACAAAAACATCATTTGAATATATTTTTTTTTTTTTTACATTATTAAATGGAGGGATGAATATTAATGATGTAGTAAAATTGTCAAAGAAATAGTACAGCAAGATACTTTGTATGAGAAGTTTCAAATCTTTCAAAAATATATTGTTTGGTTTCCAACTCTTTATTTGAAAATATTTGGGAATATGCAAAATTATCGTTTTACCCATTTTAGTTTGGGCAAATGAGTGAAAGTCCACTTTTTATAGTCAACTAACGAATTTCTATCCATTTGGATTTCTGTTGCTAATTTTTCAAATGTTTGGAACATCCGTTGGTACAAATTGAAGGTTAAAGTAATGTCTGCAAAAAGGTAAAATGTTAGGGACGCCAACTACAATTTTTCAATAAAAAAAATACTATTGAATTAAAACCAAAGGCTGTGTTACAACTACATAATTAGCTTACACGATGGCAAGATATGGAGTATGTTCGAGCCCCATGTTTTCTTAAGAATGCATTTTAGAATAATAAATTGATGGATAATTTGTAATCGAAAAATAAAGACGAAATTTAAATTTGTGTTTAATATTATTTTATTAAAAATGTGTGATTAAAAAAAAGAAAAATATATATATTTAAAAGGTAACGGAACATTAGAATTTATTCAATCAAATAAACAAAAANGGAGAGAACCCCACGTAGGGTTCTCCTGCCACATCAGCAGGTGGGCAGTCTTATCCTGTCCACCGTGGGCAGGAGAACATTCTCGAAATTCAATATGCATTATTTTAAAACTCATTTGCAACCAAATATTTTTCATAATATCAATAATTTTTTCCTATTTTTTAATTACAAATTTTCATTATATCACTATTTAAAATACATTCTTTATGATATCCAAAAAAAAAAAAAAAGAGAAAAAAAAAGCCTATTTGATCGTGACCTGATTGATAAGCCACCCAATCCTGTATATATACACGGATGAGCGATTACAAGCGGGATTAATGGTCTTTCTTCCCTGTTGGCGCCAACAACGCCAGCCAGAGAAGAGATTTTTATACTTCACTCTAAAACCCTAGATCTCTGCGTGCATTTCTAGGAGCTGAGCCGATTCTCATTGATTCAGTGTCGCCCTGGATCATTCAGTTTGAGTTCATCGCATAAACGGGATAATTATACTATTCTAATCGATTATTTCAGTAAGGATTTGAGTATTTGTGTTTTGTTTGCCTATATTGAGCTATCAAACATGGCGGATGGGCAGATGATGAAGCGTGCCAAGTATAAGTCTTCGGTCAAGGACCCTGGAGTTCCTGGCGTCCTCAAAATGGTAATAAACTTAGCACTCATATTTTTATATCGTTGTTTTAGCTTCCAACTTGTTGTCGATGTCAGTGTGGCTTTTTTCTCCTGAATTATTTTGCTGGGCTATAATCTGCTGGATTGCGTATACCCTGATAGTTGGGTACCCTATAAATCAAATGTACCAGAAATGCAGGACAGATCAATGATTGCTTGCATCTTTCACTATTGATTCCATTGCGCTGTTCAATCAAATTAGGTTTATTTTTCATTTTTCATGTTTTTATATTAATTATTTTGAAAAAAAAAAAACAGAGCTTTGATGGTGTCTATGCAGTGATTGATGGATTGTAGTTAAGAACCAGAGCTATTAATTAGTAAAAAATGCAGCTTATGGATTAAACTGGTTTTATCCGTTGCTTGTTACAGACCAGGGAAAGATTTGTTTTTATGCCAAATGATCCGAATTCATCCAGAAAGCTAAATGTGGAGTTTAGGACGATTAAAGGTGCTTTTTCTTCTACCTTTCCCTTCTCTACCAGGATATACATAGATTCTTCTTAATTATAGTTCTATGTGTTGAGGGTTGCAGTTGATGTTATTTGAAATAAAATAAGCACCAGTGACTGATGTAGTTCAGTGTGGTGAGTCTTTCTTTACAAAAGTAATTTTCCTATTTTAACTGATCTCTTTCGTACTCCATAACCACCCTAAAAATCCAGCGGAAAACCAGAAAAGGAGAAAATAAAATGACCAGTCTTCTGGAGTGTCTACATTATTCAAGTTCTTTGTTATATTTCTGTTGTAGAGCTTTTATTAATGTCTTTGCTATTATCTCCATTTTTCAGGGCATAAATTTACCAAGGAGGGTTCCAGTAAGCAGGCCCTTCTTAATCTTACTCAAGAACAGGTATGAAGTTGTGGACTAAGCTGATACGTGCTTGCAAAATTTTCCGCAAATATCTTTCAACACGAGCAATGTATTTTCTGCTGCCTAGTTTCTGTGCAATTAACAAGCTTAGTTCTGCATTATTTCAGGGTGGAAATTACATATTAGAGTTTGATAATTTTGCTGATCGTGATATTTGCCGAGAATTTGTGGGTAAGTCACCATCACGGCCATTAGTTATTCACCACCTTTGGTTGAACTT